ATATTTTGTTTCCTTTTATTATCTACTTTTTTTAAATAAAATCACACACTTACTCACACCACACCCTCTCCTCCTACTTTAGTCTCAAACACCCACCAGTAGTTTTAGTGTGTTCTTAGTTGAGCTTGATTTTTTACTTTCTTATGTAATTTTGTTTGAAAAAGAAACTTGTACTCGTAGAGCTTTTCTGAAACAAAACAAACTATCCTATTTTACTTCAATCTCTAAACAATATAAATTGTAGTCAACTTAAATATTTTGTAGTGTGTCCTTTTTCACTAGTCTTTGCAAAATGTGCATAAACCGTTGTGCATCAGTTCAAATATTTCCTGTAATTGCAATTTAGAATTTTTTGTTTAATTTTTTACATATTTATACTTTCTAAATAACTCAATTCTCAGTCATTTTAATACGCCGCATATATATCATTTTTTCAAAATAAAATTAATAAAAAAAAAACAAAATTGAATCATTCAAAGAAATATTAACACAATTTACACAAAAACACTCCTCTACACAGAAACGTACAAATTTAACAAATTCGTTAAAATAAAAAAGTAATAAAGTTATAAATAAACTAATGTGAACATTTTAAAAATGTTAACGATCGTTATCATTTCAAGTGGAAAACACAAATTTAATTGACAAGAACAAACATTTCTTTATCAGAAGAACTTTTTACAGCGTATTTATGTGGAAAAAACAACAATTGATTGGTAAATATTACTTTTGTGCGATCACCTTTTTAAAATAAATTAAATTATGAACTGATTTGAAAAAAAGTTTAGGTTCAAGTACTACTCCCACAAGTTTTTTTATAGCTGTGGTTCAAAAAGTACTTAAATTGTTATTAAAGTAAACAAATAGTCCTCTTAAGTGTTTTTTCACTAAAAAGCCTACACACTTTTAAAATAGTTTAATACTTATATAGGCAATGAAATATTTTTAGTACTAAAATATTTTTATTTTTTATAATTAGTACTAAAATTGTGTACTTTTCAACTTTATTACTTGAATTGTTTGAATTTTTAGCCAACTTTGGTGCTAACATGTAATTTTTAGTACTAAACTTCTATTTTGAAATATTCAGTACTAAATTCTGCGTCTTCTCTTTTAAACGAATTTTCGGTTTTTCCTATTTTAAGTACTAAATTTTATTTTTGGCTAATATTAGTACTTTAACACTAAAATTGTGGTTTATATACTTTAAGTACTAAATTTGAATTTTTACTACTTTTTGTACAAAATCTGTTGTTAGTACTAATATATTGTTTATTTACTCTTAGTACTAAAACCTGGTAGTTCAGTTCTAATTCAGTTCTAGTTCAGTTCTAGTTCAGTTCTAGTTCAGTTCTAGTTCAGTTCTAGTTCAGTTCTAGTTCAGTTCTAGTTCAGATCAGCTATCATGCTATAGTAAAAAGTTCTTCTTTATAAGAAAATCTAGTTTTTCTTCCTAACTCCCTCTCAGACCACAAAACCTCTTTACAATTAGAACCTCAATTTTCGTACTGTGTTGAAAGCACTTTGAAATGTTAATTGTTCTCAATTCTATGTGTTAAATAAAATAAAAACTAAAATTAAGCAAAATTTTCTACACAAAAAAAAACTTAATAATTAGCTTAAATTTTAAATAACTAAAAACAAATTCTTTTAACTCTAACACACTTTAACAGCAAATTGTTTTTCTAAATACAACTCTAATTTTTTACAATTTTAAAAATTTTTTTCAATTCAAAAACTGCGCCCTAAATCTTAAACGGGCATTCTCTGCACACACTTAAATGTAAATTAACAAATTAAAATAAAAAAAATTATATATATTGTAAAAAAACTGAACAAAACAAAATATATATAAATATAAAATTAGGAGTTGGCCACAAAACTCTCAAGAAGTTTCGATATGAAGGAGGAAGGCGGTACATTACTGGGCGATAAAGGTGTGCGTAGACATCAGGTAAGTAAAAATTCTATTAAGAATTAAGGGCAAACAACCAACAACTAAACAGATCAAACAAGCAACAAAAACAAAAGAAATTAACAAAACTTTTTAACGAAACGTTTGGAAAACTTTCAATCTGAAGTTTTTAACAAGAAATTAAAAAAAAAATACCAACAGTTTTACATTTACAAAACATTCCAAAAAAATCACTTCAATTTACAACAACTCATTGAAATACATGACATATTTTCATCAAATTTAGCATTTTTTCCCTCTAATAACAACAATTTTCAACTTTAAAATTAAAAATATTTTAAAATAAATTCAATAGTGATTTTTAGTTTTGTTTTTATTATATAGTAATTGGCTTGTTTGTAAAAGTATTATTTTGTTGAAATTATTAAATAATGAAAATTCATTTATTGAAAACTGAAACCAACACCCACTTAATTTATTTATTCCCAACTACTTGAATAAACTTAATTAATTAACAATTATAATTATGTTTGTTTCTTTTACTTTAATTTTCTTAATAACAATTATTACTGAATTATTTAACAAATACTTTAACAAATTGCCTGCTAGATATACTATTGTTTATAAATATTTATTTAACTTATTTCCAATACTTTTTACTTCCCCCTTTTTTATTAATTAATATTTGAAAATTATTTAAAAAAATCCAACACAAACACCTCAAAAATATACTTTTTTTGTAATTGTTTAAAAAAATACTGGTACTCCTCTTTTACAAATAAAATATATAAATACACCTCTTTTAAAAAATGAACAAAAAATTTTATGTACATTTAAAAAAATTAAATTATACCGATTTTGTTTAAACATTTTAAAATTCATTTGGATTTAAAATAGAAAGAAGTGATTAAAACTTAAGACATGCAAGTCCAGTTCTAGTTCAGTTCTAGTTCAGTTCTAGTTCAGTTCTAGTTCAGTTCTAGTTCAATTCTAGTTCAGTTCTAGTTCAGTTCTAGTTCAGTTCTAGTTCAGTTCTGGTTCAGTTCTAGTTCAGTTCTAGTTCAATTCTAGTTCAGTTCTAGTTCAGTTCTAGTTCAGTTCTAGTTCAGTTCTAGTTCAATTCTAGTTCAGTTCTAGTTCAGTTCTAGTTCAGTTCTAGTTCAGTTCTAGTTCAGTTCTAGTTCAGTTCTAGTTCAGTTCTAGTTCAGTTCTAGTTCAGTTCTAGTTCAGTTCTAGTTCAGTTCTAGTTCAGTTCTAGTTCAGTTCTAGTTCAGTTCTAGTTCAGTTCTAGTTCAGTTCTAGTTCAGTTCTAGTTCAGTTCTAGTTCAGTTCTAGTTCAGTTCTAGTTTAGTTCTAGTTCAGTTCTAGTTCAATTCTAGTTCAGTTTTAGTTCAGCTCTAGTTCAGTTCTAGTTCAGTTCTAGTTCAGTTCTAGTTCAGTTCTAGTTCAGTTCTAGTTCAGTTCTAGTTCAGTTCTAGTTCAGTTCTAGTTCAGTTCTAGTTCAGTTCTAGTTCAGTTCTAGTTCAGTTCTAGTTCAGTTCTAGTTCAGTTCTAGTAGTTCAGTTCAGTTCTAGTTCAGTTCTAGTACAGTTCTAGTTCAGTTCTAGTTCAGTTCTAGTTCAGTTCCTAGTTCAGTTCTAGTTCAGTTCTAGTTCAGTTCTAGTTCAGTTTCTAGTTCAGTTCTAGTTCAGTTCTAGTTCAGTTCTAGTTCAGTTCTAGTTCAGTTCTAGTTCAGTTCTAGTTCAGTTTCTAGTTCAGTCGTCTAGTTCAGTTCTAGTTCAGTTCTAGTCAGTTCTAGTTCAGTTTCTAAGTAGTTCTAGTTCAGTTCTAGTTCAGTTCTAGTTCAGTTCTAGTTCAGTTCTAGTTCAGTTCTAGTTCAGTTCTAGTTCAGTTCTAGTTCAGTTCTAGTTCAGTTCTAGTTCAGTTCTAGTTCAGTTCTAGTTCAGTTCTAGTACAGTTCTAGTTCGTTATAGTTCTAATTCAGTTCTAGTTCTAATTCAGTTCTAGTTCTAATTCAGTTCTAGTTCTAATTCAGTTCTAGTTCTAATTCAGTTCTAGTTCTAATTCAGTTCTAGTTCAGTTCTAGTTCAGTTCTAGTTCAGTTCTAGTTCAGTTCTAGTTCAGTTCTAGTTCAGTTCTAGTTCAGTTCTAGTTCAGTTCTAGTTCAGTTCTAGTTCAGTTCTAGTTCAGTTCTAGTTCAGTTCTAGTTCAGTTCTAGTTCAGTTCTAGTTCAGTTCTAGTTCAGTTCTAGTTCAGTTCTAGTTCAGTTCTAGTTCAGTTCTAGTTCAGTTCTAGTTCAGTTCTAGTTCAGTTCTAGTTCAGTTCTAGTTCAGTTCTAGTTCAGTTCTAGTTCAGTTCTAGTTCAGTTCTAGTTCAGTTCTAGTTCAGTTCTAGTTCAGTTCTAGTTCAGTTCTAGTTCAGTTCTAGTTCAGTTCTAGTTCAGTTCTAGTTCAGTTCTAGTTCAGTTCTAGTTCAGTTCTAGTTCAGTTCAGTTCTAGTTCTAGTTCAGTTCTAGTTCAGTTCTAGTTCAGTTCTAGTTCAGTTCTAGTTCAGTTCTAGTTCAGTTCTAGTTCAGTTCTAGTTCAGTTCTAGTTCAGTTCTAGTTCAGTTCTAGTTCAGTTCTAGTTCAGTTCTAGTTCAGTTCTAGTTCAGTTCTAGTTCAGTTCTAGTTCAGTTCTCAATCCCAAATCAAATTTTTAAAAACAAAATCTATATAATTTGTAAAAAAAAACGACACCATTCTTAAATTCACATAAATTCCCTCCCAGCAAAAATATTAAAAATTCATATCATAAATCTACCAAAAACAAAATTTCAGTCTATGCAAAGATTATCGGCTGAACAGCAACAACAAAATGGTTCAACGACTGAACAAACAACTCATGAACACAATCCAAACGTCGTACCTGATCATAGAGGCAACTTACATGTAACAGTTAAGAAAACAAAACCAATATTAGGTATTGCTATCGAAGGTGGTGCTAATACAAAACATCCGCTTCCTAGAATAATAAATATACATGTGAGTAGGACAGGAATTTTGTTGGAACAAATTTAAAATGAGAATTTTTTCAATTTGAAACAGGAAAATGGTGCAGCATTTGAAGCGGGAGGCTTAGAGGTGGGTCAACTGATACTAGAAGTAGACGGCAATAAAGTTGAGGGTCTACATCATCAGGTATGAAGAGTTTTATTTTTTTTATTTGGAATTTTTTAATATTATTTTTTATATTAATTCCTTGCAGGAGGTTGCCCGTCTTATAGCTGAATGTTTTGCAAATCGAGAAAAGGCTGATATAACCTTTTTAGTTGTCGAAGCGAAAAAATCGAATTTGGAACCTAAACCAACTGCTTTAATATTCTTAGAAGCCTAACATTTGCTTGCCCTGCCGGCTACAGATGACCCATTGGAACAACAGAAACTGGAGTTCCTTTATGAATGGGGTATCGATTTAACGACAACGCCAAAACCAATGCCAACACCAATACCACTAACAAAAGCTAAAAATCCACCGCCACTGCCAACACTAACACAACAACTACAACATCCACACTCATTACACCAACAACAACAACACCACCATCACAGCCATCAAAACAACATTAACTACAGCAACAACAACAACAACATTAATGCAAAAATAAACACTACTACAACAACACCAACTACGCATACGACAACAACAACAAATACCAACAAACAAACAACAAAATCCTCAGGTATATTTACACCAGCGAACACTCAACAACAAAAACAACACCACCAACAACTACAACAAAACTCAACACACCATCAACAACAACAACACCACCACCAACAACATCATCAGCATCCACATCAACACCAACACCAGGAATCAACTTTAGAAACTTTAACTTCACCCCTCTCATCCAGTGAACACAACACGCCCACACATCATCTCTACACCAACAACAAAAAGAATTATGATTCCGTTTACCAATAATTGAAACAACAATAACAACAACAACTTACAAACAAACAACATCTAGAAACCAAAAACAAAATTTGTAAATTGTACAACTACAACAACAACATCCAGACAAATTGTATGTATGTATTGTATGTTTTTTTTCCCCATTTTAAAAAAAAATTATAAAAAAAAATCTTAAAAAAAATATGTGTGCTAAAAGAATAAGCGTTGTAGCCTGAAAAGAACAAAAAAGAAATCACCCAAAAATATCTCACACGCTTCTACGCTTATTGTTTAAAAAAAACGGTCAATTGTGCTATGCTTATTAATAGAATCAGAAATCCCGCTAATGTAACCGAACCCGACCCCGACCCGCATCTCTTAAAGCAGGCTTAAAGTGTTTTTATATAAATCTATCGTCGCTTTTCTCGTCCTTGTAGAAGATAGTTATACATATATTGGATAAATGGTCTAGGAAGAATAAAAAACTTACTGAACTGGGTCTATAGTTTCGACTATAGTCAAGCTCCTCGTACGGATGATTGTTTAGTCCATAATCTATACTCTAGTCTAATATACGGTATAAAGACTGGATAAAAGTCCAGTTTAAATTTAGACTATAGTGTGGACTAGACTATAGTAGATAGTCCATAGTCCACACTATAGTTTGTCTAGTTTATAGTTCGGACAATAGTTCAGTTTATAGTCTAAAGTATATAGTCTATAGTATATAGTTCATACCGTCCGGACTATAGTCGTCTCTATAGTCTAGTCTGAAGTCTGGACTTTAATCTTGTATTAAGTCTAGACTATAGTTTAGTCTTAAGTGTGGACTGTTATCTAATATTAAGTCCATAGACTGGACTATAGTATAATCTATAGGCTGGACTATAATCTATTCATTTGTCTGGTCAATAGTATATTCTAGCCTGAAGTCTAGACCATAGTCTTATCATAAAACTGGACTATAGTATAGTCTGACTATAGTCTAGTCTTAAGTTTGGGCTACAGTATAATCTAAACTGTGTACTGTAGTCACGACTATTGTTAAATTAAAAGTCTGGACTATAGTCTAGTCCAAAGTCTGGAGAAAACCCTAATCTACAGTCTGGACTATAGTATAGTCTGTAGTCTAAACAACTGTCTATACTATATTGTAGTCTAAAATCTGGACTACGGCCTATTCTAAAAGACAATAATCTAATCTATAGTTTTGTCTAGTATTTGGACTATAGTCTAGTCTATAGTCTAGTCCATTTCGTAGACCATTTTATTAAAACTATATTTTGTATATCAACATATTAAATACGCTTAATCCATTATGTTTTAATATATTTTGAAAGAAATGTAGATTTTAATTAATTTTAGTTGCTTTGGAAATTTCGACAAAACCATGAAAAAAAGCTTTATTTGAAGAGTTTCAAGCTTTTGTGTTATTTCATAAAAAAAACACAAAAGTCATCCATGTTTTAATCTATTTATATATTACGGCTTTAGAACTATGTTTAAAGCTTAATTTGAAAAGCTTTTGTGATTTTTTTATGAAAAGATCAATAACATCTCCTCTTTGATTATATCTTGAGACTTTCTAAAAGCTTTTGAACTAATTCGATAAGCTTTCTTCCCTTTGATTCAAATTTCACACAGTGGAGCTTTTGAATTTAAAGTTGTAGCTGTAACTTCATTCCAAAAGCTTTCGTCCCTTTGAGTAAAATTTCCGTTAGTAAAGCTTTTCATTCTGGTTTTATTTAGAAATAGGTAAAACTCCTAATTTCTGCTGTAAATAATCCTTTAAAGTTTTAGCTGTAACTTAGACTCCTTGTATGGTGTTGGCCAAAGTTATTCATGTTGTAATTTCCGTGTTATTGCTTTAAGACAACCTTTATATATACTTTTTAGAAATGTTTGATTGATATAGATGTTAAAGTGTTTATTGCGTTTTATCAACTTTTAGGACTCAAAACAATACCAATTAATAAGTTTATATCCTTGTCAGCTTTCAGTGGCTAGTTTTGAATAGTTTTGTTTAAGCTTTAAAGCTTTTTTAAGGTAAAAATTTATAAAGTTATATAATTCAATGATTTTAAGCAATAATTATTTAAAATTTTATGAAACAGTTAAGACTAGTTTTTGATTTAGCTTGAAAGCTTTTATAGCTTTCATTTAATGTTGTTTCTGTGAAAAGCTTTTTATATCAAATAATAGGTATATTAGGTATATTATTACGATCAGATTTTAAGCAACTAAAGCAATTCATTAGTTTCCGTGAAATTTAAAAGCTTTTTATTAAATGTAAGGTTTTAAAGTAAAAGAATAGAGCTTTTTTGAAGCCTAAGTTAAAAATGTCCTTAATTTGTAAAGCTTTTTATGTAAATCTATAGCAAATTGAATATAAAATGATTGTTTGCTACAATTCAAAGCTGTTTTAACACTCAGATAAGAAGAGTTTGTTTCTAAGTTTCAATACCCGTTAAGATTTCAAGCTTTTTATGCAATATATTAGAAAATTGATTATTAAAAGATTACAAACGATTTTCACATTCAATTAAGGCTAGTTTTTGGGTTGATCTCTAGAGCTTGAAAGTTTTATGTTAACTAAAGCTTTTAGTTACCTTTCAATTATAAAGCTTTTTAGAAAAACAATTTAATTAAAATAACTTTTAATGAATTTAAGTAAAGTTTAAAACAAAGTTTTCCTAAATTAATACAAATTGGTTAAAAAGCTTTTAATTTTAGTTAAGCTTTTTAAGCTTATTTTTTTCCCAAGTTATACACTTTCGAAACTTAAAATTTTAAGTAAAAATATAAAGCTAAATGATGGCTTAAGTTAATTTAGCTTTTAATATCATTTAAGCTTTAAAGCTTTTTAGGTAAAATGTTAATTAAAATAACCTTTAAGATATTTAGTTAACAGTTGAGGATAATTTTACCTTATTTTTAAATAAATCTACTAAAAAGCTTTTAATTTTTAGTAAAGCTTTAAAGCTATTTTCGCAAAATTATACTGAAGAGCTTAAGAATTTTATTTACAACAATTTATTAAAAGTTTATAAGACAAATTTTGTTCCATAATCTTTTGATAAATTGTTATAAATAAGTTAGTTAAATGGGATAATTTTAAGTAAGCTTTAAAGCTTTTTTTAGCTTTTTTTTAGAAAAAATACTTAATATCTGTAAAATATCAAAAAATATAAAAAAAAACACTGCCAATATTTAAAAATATTTATAAATTCAAATAAAACACTTGATTTAGAAAAACCCCCAAACTCCTATTATAAAACAACAAACCCAGAAAAAAGGAACTTAGTAAAAATAAAACCAAAACTCTTAAACATTTTACCATTTTCTCCCTTACAAATTAAACTAAAAGCCTCTTTTAGAGTAGTTTTATAAATTTCATTTTAAATTAAATTAACTGTTTTAATTTTGGTTAAAAAAACACTAATAAACAAACTAAAAAAAAACTAAATAAAAAAAACCCACCTAATTACAACAACAACAAAAATACCACAGTCGTAAATTTAAAGAAAAATTATTGAAAAAATATTACACACATTTAGTAGAAAAACTATTTAGTAACAACTTTTAAAAGATAAAAAAAGCATTAGAAACCCAATAAATTAAACAAAAAGTAGTAACAAAAAAAATAAAGAAAATTATATACATAAACAAAAACAAACAGACAAATACACAGAAACCCACACTATATACATTTAAATAATAAAAAGGATAATTATATATAAAAAAAAATAATTAAAAAAATATTAAAAAAAATATGTAGAGATTAACATTATTATAAATAAATGTTTAGCTTATTTACTAAAGAACTACAACAACAGCAACAACAACAAAAAAACACCTTAACAAAAAAAATATTAAACAAAAAAATAAATTAAACCAAATTAATAATTAATAACAATATGTATTAGTACAATTATGCACCGCGCACCACTTTTTTCAACAAAAAAAAGCAAACAACAATTTAATTACACCAACAACAACAAAAATATTACAAAAAAATATAAAAAATTTATATAATTTTCACCAACAAAAATTAAAAAAATTATAAAAAAAAAATATTTCACTTGGTAAACGAGTTATAAACAAAAAACTTAAAACTTTTAAAAACAGAAATAAAAACTACATTTTAAAACAAACCAAAAAAAAAATAGGCTGGAAAATAGCTAAAGAACTAAAATTCACTACTAAAAATGAAAAATATGAAAAAAAAGCTTAAAAACAAAGGTTGATTGGCAAAAAATTTAAAAAGAAACGTTAAAGTTAAAGCCGACAGGGCGCGATTTTTCCAAAAAAAGAAAACTAACTACTAACTAACAAATTAAAGAGAAAAAAACGCTTTTACTATTTAAAGAAAAAAAACAAATAGAAAACTAAAAACAAACGCTAAACTATTGTAAAATGAACTCTCTTCTTTTCTCATAAAAAAAAGCTTTTAAGCTAACTCTCTCTCTCTTTATCTTTATCTAACTCTAATTTAATTAACCAATGTATAGTTACTTATATAAACTTAAAAGCTCAACAAAAATTTCTTAATTTTTTATAATTTAAAAAAAAAAATAGCTTTTAACTTTTTTTATAACCCTCTTAGTTTTTTTTATTAAAAAAAAATATTTGTAATATAAACTTTAAAAAACAACACATCAAAATCAAAGTAAAATTTGAACAGAATTTTTTATAAAATTTAACTTTATCTTAAAACTGAAAAAAACTAAAATTAGTTTAGTTTTATAACAAGCAAAACAAAAAAAAAAACAAAACCTGGTTGTAGTTATACTAACAAAAGAGAGTTTTATTAATTTGCTTTTGTAAAAAGGGTTCATCTTATTAATTTAATTTATAGAAAATTAAAACGGAAATTAAAAAAAAATTAATTAAAAAATAATTCGAAAATTTGTTGATTTTACAGCTGGGCATACAAAAATTTTAAGTTTTTTCAAATATTTTATAAAAAGCTACTAAATAGTCAACAGACATTCAACTAGTTAAAAGAGTCGACTAGTTAATAGACTATTCGATAGTGTAGTTCTTAGACTAATCGATAAACTATTTTATTTCATAGATTATTTTATAGACAAGTCGATATGCTAGTTCACATACTATTCTACAGACTATAAACTAGTTAATAGGCTAGTCCATAGATTAGTTCATCTACTAGTTCATAGACTAGTCGATGGACTAGTTCATAGACTAGTCGATGGACTAGTTCATAGACTAGTCGATGGACTAGTTCATAGACTACTTTAAAGACTAGTCCACAGACTAGTTTATAGACTAGTTAATAGGCTAGTCCATAGATTAGTTCATCGACTAGTTCATAGACTAGTCGATGGACTAGTTCATAGACTAGTCGATAGACTAGTTCATAGACTACTTTAAAGACTAGTCGATAGACTAGTTCATAGAATAGTTCATAAGCCAGTCGATAGACTAGTTCATAGACTAGTCGATAGACTAGTTCATAGACTAGTCGACAGACTAGTTCATAGACTAGTCGGTAGACTAGTTCATAGACTAGTCGATAGACTAGTTCATAGACTAGTCGATAGACTAGTTCATAGACTAGTTCAAATACTAGTCGATGGACTAGTTCAAATACTAGTCGATGGACTAGTTCACAGACTAGTCGATAGACTAGTTCATAGACTAGTTCATAAACTAGTCTATAGACTAGTTTATAGACAAGTCCATAGATTACTTCATCGACTAGTTGATAGACTAGTCAATAGATTAGTTCATAGAATAGTCGATAGACTAGTTCATAGTTCATAGACTAGTCGATAGACTAGTTCATAGACTAGTCGATAGACTAGTTCATAGACTAGTCGATAGACTAGTTCATAGACTAGTCGATAGACTAGTTCATAGGCTAATTCATAGACTAGTCGATGGACTTGTTCATAGACTAGTCGATAGACTAGTTTATTGACTAGTCAATAGACTAGTTTATTGACTTGTCGATAGACTCATATATTAGTCGATAGACTAGTTCATTGACTAGTCGATAGAGTAGTTTATAGACAAGTTAATGCACAAGGTCATAGATGAGTCGATAGACTAGTTAATAGACTAGCCGGTAGACTAGTCTATAGACTAATTCATAGCATAGTCGATAGGCTAATCCATAGACTACTTCAATAAAAAATCTTTTCAAAATTATCTCGCTTTTGCCCAGCTGCCGTTGAGTTGTTATGAGTGTGATAGAAAAAAAAATCCAAACAAGAAAATAAAATAAATGTTTTAACGAAATTATTAACAAAAAAAATCTATGTTGAAAAAATAAAACCTTGTTTTTTTGGTTTAAAAATCATTTGGAACAGTAACTAAAAGCAAAATAATATAAAAACTAAAAACAAAAAAAACTTTGTTAAACTTTTTAAATATAATTATAATAAAAAAAATATACTCTTATTAAAAAAATTATAAAAAAAAATAACCCCAAAAATATATATAAAATAAAATTTGTTGAATAATATGTAAAAAAAACTTATATAAATGTAATATACAATATAAATTTATAAAAAAACAACTAGTACCTTTCTTTTTTGAGAATAAAAATGGCAAAAATGAGAAAAAATATTGAAAACTAAAAAAATTAAATTTAAAAGCTAAATTTATAAAAAAAATTAAAAACAATATATAAATAATAAAAATAATTAAAAAACTAAATTTAAAAAAAAATGCTAAAAATTACATAAAGCAACCCAAAAAAAAAAAAATTCAAATTCTTGCTTTTATTTGAGTGGCTATTATTCAAAGATTTTTACAAAAAAAAAATAACTTAAAAATTTGTTGTGATTTTTAAATTTTATATAAATATAAAATGTTTAAAAATTCCTAAATAATTTAAAAAATTAAATTGTTTAAAAAATATACACAACAAAATAAATTTAATTAAATGTTAAATACATTTTTGATTATTAAGGCAAATGAAAGAAAGATTTAAAAACGGTTTTAAAGGAAATTTAAAAAAAAGCTTTTATAATAAGAAAGCTTTTTTAAGACAAAGTTTTAAGAAGTTGAAAATTCTTAAACAAGATTAATAGCAAAAGCGTTGAGCTTTTAGAGTTTTGTAAGAAAGTTCTTTCTAAATTTTAAGAACTAGTTTTAAAAAGTTTGTTATGAAAAGGCTTTAAAAATCTTGTCTCAAAAAAGCATTTTTAAGAAAAAAAAATGTTTTAAGAAAGCAGCTATTAAAAAGTCTTTAATAAACTACTTGTAGAGGCTTTTTTAAGAAAAGCTTTAACGATTTATTTTAGACAAAGCTTAAAAAAGTTTTTTTTAAGAAAAAACTTTAAGCACTTTTTTAAATTTCAAGAATCCATTGAAAAAATTTCAAGTTGATTTTTTACTTTCACCTTTAAAAATATCTTTTAGGAAAAAGCTTTACGAAGCTTTTTTAAAATGAGCTTTGAGAAACTTTTTTAAGAAAAGCTTTAAAAAGCTTCTTTAAGAAAAGGCTTTAAGAAGCTTTTTTAACAAAAGCTTTAAGAAGCTTTTTTAACAAAAAGCTTTACGAGGCCTTTTTAAGAAAAAGCTTTACGAGGCATTATTTAAAAAAAAGCTTTACGAGGCCTTTAAAAAAAAAGCTTTAAGAAGCTTTTTTAAGAAAACGATTTAAGAAACTTTTTTATTTTAAAGCTTTAAGAAACCGTGTTATGAAAAGGCCTTATGAAACTTTCTTAAGCTTTTAAACACATCTCCTAGA